ACTTTTGGCTGTCTGGGAGTTGACACCCACTCACCCTTGCATTGTTCAAGGGTCTCCTGTGTTTGAAATCATACAGTACATATATTTTGGTGTCTGGTTTCTTTTGTTCAACGTCATGTTGATGAAATCATCCATATTTCTCTGTGTGTTTGTTGATAGTTGATACTCATCAGCATGGAGAAGGAAATGGCAACCTACTCCAATATTCTTGCCTGGGAAAATCCCATGGACAGAGGAGCCTGGTGGGCTACCTTCCATGGGGTCGCAAAGAGTTGGACATGACTGAGCACACACACACATACTCATCAGTGTTTTGTGTTTCACAAACCCATTGAGAATATAGGCAAAGGGATTCAATTCAAATCTGATCGAACCTCTGGATCCAGCTGCCGACTTGCAGGAAGCACAGAGGTAAAAATTTGCTAATCTCCCAATCGCACACACTCATTATGGACCACTTCCACCACTTAACTGCTAATTCTTTGTAATCTCTATCTGAACAGATATTTTGTAGCACTTAACCTTGGAGGATTCCCTAGGAATTCACTGTTTTTACTGAACTAGCCTTCAGCCTTATACTCTGGGCCTTCATCAAGATGGTTTAGTTGGAGAGTTCCCTGGTGGTCTAAGGATAGGAGTCTGACCTCCCAATGCAGGGGGCCTGTGTTTCCATCCCTGCTCAGGGGACTAGATCCCACAAGCTGCAACTAAGAGTTCACAAGCTGCAACTAAAGATCCTGCATGCCACAATGAAGATCCAAGATCCTGTGTGCTGCAATTAAGACCTGGTACAGTCAAATAAATTAATAAATAATTTTTTTTTTTAAAGAAGAGTTATAAGAAACAGCCTTAAGAAACCGGTTGCTGGATTTACTGTCAGGAGTTTCCTGAAGACAGTGTTCATTCATTGTGTCCACAGTGGCCTCTCCATGGGAACTCCAGAATAAATTTCTTTTGCATCGTTGTACTAGAAATAAGCATTTTCCTTGGAGGGGGAAGGGAGTGGTTTTGCTTTTAGCTGACACAGGCCTTATGAATCACGTGATGGATCTTGTTTCCCTTTTCACTATGGCTGCTAAGAAGCTGAATCATTTCTGCGGTCCGCGATTTCCAGGGCCTTGGACTCTGAGCTGAGCTGTCTGCACTACCCTCACCCCTGGCTGCTCTCAGCTTTCCTTCTCTCGCTTCTTTTCTGACTCTATTTCTTTACCTTCTTATTTTTTTCTTTTTAAACCTTTTTACTCCTGAATTGTCTGTCAGCTCTTGAGGGATACAGAGAGATGGCCCTTTCAGGAACATAGACATGACAGTAACAGGGTGCTTTTGAGAATTAAATGCTGGGACCAGCCGAGTCGGTTTGGAGCAGAAAAGTGCAAAGGCTTCGGTGGGAGCAGGACAGCTCCTGGGCACGATGCTTGGCGATGCTCTAGGTTTGTGAGACCTCGGTGGAGTCTCCAGTCCCCAGCATGACCTCCTCTCCTCACTCCTGCTGGGGCATTAACAGACCAGATTCTGATCTTGGCATTTGACTGACTTCCCCCTTGTGACTGTGAAGGTTGACCACTTCCTATGTGTGTGTCTCCTGAAAGCAAAGGCAACAATCAAGCTGTCACTGAAACAAGAGGAGATTTATGACTTCCAGCTAAAAGAACCATTTTTACAGGAGGCATGCTTGATGGGTCCCAGCTGTGGCGGCTTGGACAGACTCGGGGCTAGAAGGTCTCCTGCCTTCCTCTGGCTTCTCCTTCCTGCACCACCTCTGCAACTTGGAATCTAGACCCACAGCCAGCGAGTCCAAGAAAGTGTGGGTGGGGGACAGGGGAGACAGGAATCTGGAACTCTGGGCATCCAGGGCTTTTTGTTTGTTTATTTGTTTGGATCTGGTTTATACTTCCTGCAGGGCTGGAAGACAGCTTTCAAAATGATCCCTGGGCCATTTCATTTGGAAAAGAAATAATTGTTTTAATCGTAAGCGAGCACAGAAGTGAAGTCTTTCCTGGCCTGGATTTCCCCAGCAGGAGAAGCTTAATGCTGGCCACTGTCCCTTGCCCTTGGCTGTCCCCTTGGCTGGTATCACAGGTGTATGTTGGAACCCCAGGGAGATGAGCATAATTTCTTGTCCAAACTCTAGAAGGATCCCAAAGGATGCTTCACTTTTTTTGGTCTTCTTCCTCTTTAAAATATTTATTTATCTATTTGGCTGTGTCGTGTCTTAGTTGTGGCACACGGGATCCTAACTGTCATGGGCAGGCTTTTTTCTAGCTGTGTCTCACATGCAACTTCATTGCACCATGGCATGTGGGAACTTGGTTCCCCGACCGGGGCTTGAACCCACGCCCCCTGCTTTGGAAGGAGGATTCTTAACCACTGGACCACCAGCGAAGTCCACTTTTCTTTGTCTTCTGATGGGACATTTTCTCAAGATTTCTCTGGACTGAGAAGGGGGTCTGTTTCCTTGGTTTCAAATCTCCACCCCCTCCCCTACAGTGGGTAGAGCCGAGAGCAGGGGAGTCAGCCTCCTAGGATCACTACACTAGGTCCCTGGGCGAGGCAGAATAATACCTACTGAGCCCCCACAAGATGTCCCTGTCCTAAAACTTGGAACCTGTGACTCTGTTATCTCACATGCAAAAGAGATGTTGCTGGTGTGATTAAGGATCTTGAGATTGGGAGATTATCTGGGATTATCCAGGTGAGCTCAGTGAAATCATGAGGTTATGATAAGAGGGCAGGGTCAAAGAGACGATGTGAGAGCAGGAAGCAAAACCCTGTGATATAATTGCTGGCTTAAAGACAGACAAGGGCCGTCTGGAATGCAGGCAGCTACCAGAGGCTGGAAGAAGCAAGGCTGGAAGAGTTTCTACCCAAGAGCCTCCAGGAGGGACAGAGGTCTGCCAACACCTTGGTTTCAGTCCAGCTCTGACTCGCAGGACTATGATGCTATTGTCCCAGTGGTTAAGTTATTATAGTAGCAACAGAAAACTGATACAGCCCCAAAATACACGGGCGTGCACACACACGCGCAGCGTTTGAAATATGCCCTGTGGACTTTTCCTTGTCTGGCCAAATATATTCAACAACATAAAGAAAAGAGGTGGCACTTTCCTGGTAGTCCAGGGGTTAAGAATCTGCCTGGCAATGCAGGAGACACGGGTTCAATTCTTAGTCCGGGAACTAAAGATCCCACATACCTCTGGGCAACTGAGCCCATGTGCTACCACTACTGAAACCCGGGTGACCTGGAACCTGAGAGCTGCACCTGCTGAGCCCATGCATCTAGAACCCACACAACAAGAGAAGCCCAAGCACCAAAACGAGAGAGCAGCCCCTGCTTACCGCAACTAGAGAAGCCCCACAGGCAGCGACCAAGACCCAGTGCAGCCAAGAATAGATATTGGCCAATCCCACATTTATTAACTAGTTCAATCGCTCAAAGACCCTAGGGGTAGGCATTATCATAACTCCCATTTTAGAGTGAAAGAGCATATATACATACATACATATATATATATATACACACATATTTAATTGAAGTAGAGTTGACTTAACAATGTTGTGATACTTTGTACAGAAAAATGATTCAGTCATATATACATTTTATACACACACGCACACATACACACACACACACTCAGATTTTTTTTTTCCCCCTTACAGGCTATTTCAAAACATTGAGTATAGTTCCCTCTGCTATACAGTAGGTCCTTATCGACTATCTATTTTATACATAAAGTAAAAAGTAAAGTCATTCAGTCGCGTCCAACTCTTTGCCACCCCATGGACTATAGCCTACTAGGCTTCCCTGTCCATGGGATTTTCCAGGCAAGAGTACTGGAGTGGGTTGCCATTTCCTTCTCCAGGGGATCTTCCCAACCCAGGGATCGAACCTGGGTCTCCAGCATTGCAGATAGACGCTTTACCATCTGAGCCAACAGGAAGCCCATAGTAGTGTGTTTATATGTCAGTCCCAAAAGCCTGATCTATCCCTCCCTCTCTCTCCCAGTAACCATAGAGTTTGTCCCCTATATTTGTGGGCCTATGGATGGTATATATATATTTTTTCCCATTTATTTTTATTAGTTGGAGGCTAATTACTTTACAATATTGTAGTGGTTTTTGCCATACATTGAAATGAATCAGCCATGGATTTACATGTGTTCCCCATCCTGAACCCTCCTCCCACCTCCCTCCCCACCCCATCCCTCTGGGTCATCCCAGTGCACCAGCCCCAAGCACTTGTCTCATGCATCCAACCTGGGCTGGCGATCTGTTTCACACTTGATAATATACATGTTTCGATTCTGTTCTCTCAGATCATCCCACCCTCACCTTCTCCCATAGAGTCCAAAAGTCTGTTCTATACATCCATCTGTGTCTCTTTTTCTGTCTTGCATATAGTGTTATCATTACCATCTTTCTAAATTCCATATATATGCGTTAGTATACTGTATTGGTGTTTATCTTTCTGGCTTACTTCACTCTGTATAATGGGCTCCAGTTTTATCCATCTGATTAGAACTGATTCAAATGTATTCTTTTTAATGGCTGAGTAACATTCCATTGTGTATATTATGGATGGTATATTTTAAAACTATCGATTGAAACTTGGACTCTGTGTGAAATAGATAAAAAATGACACAGCAATTTGATTCACTTAGTCATTCAACAAACATAATGTGCTCCTGCTTTCCATGAATGTGTGTGTGTGTGTGTGTGTTAGTTGCTCAGTTCTGTATGACTCTTTGCAACCCCATGGATTGTAGTCCGCCTGGCTCCTCTGTCCATGGAGTTCCCCAGGGGAGAATACTGAAGTGGGTTGCCATTCCCTTCTCCAGGGTATCTTCCCGATGCAGAGATTGAACCTGGGTCTCCTGCATGGCTGGCAGATTCTTCACTGCCTGAGTCCCCCGGGAAGCCTTGCTCTCCGTGACGATGAGTGTCGGATGCTGCAGTGATAGGTCCCAAGGCAGATAAGCGAGGGGCTCGAGCCTGCAGAGCTGATGGCACCAGTTCATCACCACCCCATTTCCCCCAAATCCTTGGTGCCTCCCCCAGGAGGGATAAGAAGGGACGGTTGCGAGCTGACCTCTCAGTTTCAGGCCAGGACCCTTTCCCACATCCTGTCTCCTCTCCAGGGGACAGAGCACTCTGGGAAGGTGATGAGAAACAGAAGCGTAACTTCATCAGGTGGTCAGGTGAGGTCATTTCCACGTCCAGAGTCTGGGCTGAGAAAAGCTGCGTGGGCACAGTTTCTGAGAGCACCACGTGGGTCCCGCAGAGAGGAGGGGCCTTGTGGGGGAGCTGTGATCACACCCAGCTGGGTGCCGAGACCTACCTCCCGCGTCCCTCCCGTGCAGGACAGGTGGATCTGAAGCCAGACTGTTTTAACTCAGCTCTTTGCCCAACAACCAGCTCAGCAGGTGTCAGCAACTGTTTGTTGAAAGAACAGATGAGTCTCACATGGGTTTCTAGCCCAGCTGGATGGCTTAGCAGCTGCATGGCTTTAGGCAAACTTCGTTCCTCTCTTGAGTTGTCCCTCTGTTATCCGTCGAAAGAGAACAGTGAGACCTCCTAGGGTGGTTCATTCAATCATTTATTTCAGTCTTAAAAAAACCCTGTATTGTGAAGTGACCACAGGTACAGAAAACCACACAAAATAAACTTAATGAGTCATCTTACGGCAAGTATTTTTGTAACTACACCCCAAGTTAATAAAGAGAACTTTGCAAGCACTCCTCCTCCCTCAACTCTCTCCCGGATCTCCTCTCCAATCTAAGCTCTCTCATACCCCTGAAATGAACTCGTAGCCTGACTTTTATAGTCATCATTTTCTTTCTTTTAAAAAAAATGTATTTATTATTTTTGACCATGCTGGATCCTCACTGAGGCTCAGGCTTTTCTCTAGTCGCAGTGTGCGGGGGCTACCCTCTAGTGGTGTGCACACTTCCCGGAGCAGTTCCTTCTCTTGTGGAGCACAGGCTCCAGGGCGCCCGGGCTTCAGTAGTTGTGGTTCCCCAGGCTCCAGAGCGCAGGCTCAGTAGTAGCCGCTGGCTCACAGGGAAGTCCCATGAGCTGTTTCTTGATGTGATTGATACCCTCCCTGCTTTTATTTTAAAGAGAAAGGGAGATTTCTCTCCTCCAACTTTTCCTTTTGTAATTTTATTTATTTTTGGCTGTGCTGGGTGTTTGTCGCTGCTTGGGATTGTCTCTAATTGCAGCAAGTGGGGACTGCTCTCTAGCTGCGGTGCGTGGGCTTTATTTCGGTGGCCTCTCTTGGTTCGGACCACGGGCTCTAGAGCACAGGCTCAGTAGCTGTGAGACACGGACTTTGTGGTTCTTCACCACGTGAGATCCTCCCGGATCAGGGATTGAACCCCCGTCTTCTGCATTGGCAGGCAGATGCTTTACCACTGAGCTGCCAGGGAAGCCCCAGTAATCATTTTCTTGCAATACTTTCTCACATAAGTTTGTATCCCTAGATGTAATTGTTCAGACTTGCCTGTTAAAAAAATAAAAGATTCATCTTTAAAGTTTCCTTTAATCTAGAGGTGTCCCTGGACCCTTTCTTTTCCTTAGAAGCTATTTGGGATGGAGCTTCCCTCAGGATGGACTTGGCTGACTTCATCTGCAAAACACCATTCAGAGTGCTCCTCTGTCCTCTGCGCTTCCTGGAAGCTGGCAGCTGGATCCGGAGGCTTGACCAGATCTGGGTTCGATCCCTTGGGCCAGCTCCTCAGGGAGCCTGTGTGCTTTCCTCTGGCAATGCACAATGTTGGATGTTCTTTCTGTTTTAGCAGCAGTGGGTTGTCTTGCCAGACGCTAGCAGAGGAGGACCCACCTGCCAATGCAGGAGATGTAAGAGGCGTGGGTCTGATCCTTGGGTCCAGAAGATCCCCTGGAGGAGGGCATGGCAACCCACAATATTGTGTTGGTTTCTGTCATACATCAACATGAATCAGCCATAGGTATACCTACAGCCCCTTTCTCTTGAACCTCTCTCCCACCCCATCCCACCCCTCTAGGTCATCACAGAGTACCAGACTTGAGGGAAAGAGACTTTTAGAAAGGGATGTTTCCCCTTATTTCCTCTTTGATGCTCAGGGATACAGGTCATCTAGGAGAGGTAGGACACAGGTTTACTTCTATCCCTTGTTCACCAGTTTACAAGAAAATGAATTTGTTCTTTATTATCCTCCAGAGGAGAGGACCAATTAACTCCTTTTCAATGTCATTGTGAACTCTAAGATTTTAACATATCTGATGGGTTACAATCATTTACAAGTATTTTAAAAACAATTCTAAAAAAGTCTTCATTGAATTTATTACTGTTCTGCTTTATGTTTTTTTTGGGGGGGGGCCATGAGGCATACGGGATCTTAGCTCCCCAATCAGAGATGGAACTTGTACCTTCTGCACTGGAAGGATCCTCAAGGAGTTATCACTTCTTGAGGTTAAGGAGTGATTCTTAACCACTGGACCAATTAGGGAAGTCCCCAGCATTATTCTTGAAAAACCTGATAATAATTGAATATTTTTTCTTTATAAGTCAACTACTATTATTACCTAAGCTGAGCACCAAAGAATTGATGCCTTTGAACTGTGGTGTTGGAGAAGACTCTTGAGAGTCCCTTGGATGCCAAGGAGATCCAACCAGTCAATCCTAAAGAAAATCAGTCCTGAATATTCATTGGAAGGACTGATGCTGAAACTGAAGCTCCAATACTTTGGCCACCTGATGTGAAGAACTGACTCATTGGAAAAGACCCTGATGCTGGGAAAGATTGAAGGCGGGAGAAGAAGGGGGTGACAGAGAATGAGATGGTTGGATGGCATCACCGATTCAATGGACATGAGTTTGAGCAAGCTCTGGAAGCTGGTAATGGACAGGGAAGCTGGCATGCTGCAGTCCATGGGGTTGCAAAGAGTCAGACATGACTGAATGACTGAACTGAACTGAGAAGCCTGAAGGACTTTTTTCTCTTTCCCTGAAGTCCAGTCATTTTATTAGAATGTCTTTTTTTTTTTTTTTAGAATGTCTTGAATATGTCTGATTATTCTGGGTTGATATTTTCAGGTATTCAGTATGCTCCTTCAATATGTAATTTCAATTAAAAAATTTCAGTAGGTGTTCTTGATTGTTTTTAATATTTGTTCCTTGCTTTGGTTTTCTTCTATAGGAAATTTTATGACTTGTATGTTGAAACTTCTTGACCTAATTTCAATATTTGTCATTTTCTCTAGAATATTTAAAAAACCCCTGTCTTCATTTCTGGTTGATTTATAATATTCTTTTCACTTTTCACCTTTTTCTATTCTGGCATTATCTCAAGGTTGGGTTAATTTGCTCTTGTGTTTCTTCTATTTTAGCTTTCATTTCTCAAATAAGTTCTTTCCTTTGTATGTCTACTTTGTTATGGAGTTCTGTTTTCTAATCAAAACTCTCTAATGCTAATTTATGTTGTTCTTTCACATCTTGCATATTTAAAGATGTTTTTAAGGTCATTTTGAACTAGAAGGTTATGGTTTTGATCTGTCCTGAAGAAATGTGTCACTGGCATGCTTTATCCTATTTTTAGGACTGCTATTGGCTCCTGGTTATTCTTTTGCCTAAGTTAATTTTGTATGAGATCTGACCTCCAGATTCTCTATTGCTCGTTTTTATGTGAAATTAAGTTTTCCTGAGGGCTTCTCGGGTGGTTCAGTGATAAAGAATTCATCTGCCAATGCAGGAGACTCAGGTTCGATCCTTGAGCGGGGAAGATCCCCTGGACTCTTACCTGGGAAACCCCACGGACAGAGGAGGCTGGCGGGCTACACTCCACGGGATTGCAGAGTTGGACATGACTTAGTGACTAGACAACGACATAACGAGTTTTCCTGAACTTGCAGGTGATGTTCAGGATGCATCTCTAACCTCAAGGTCGCCCCCTCCTCTTGTCTGCGTGGAGGGTCCAGACATGGTGGCCTGCTTTCTGAGGCCTCCCGGTTCCATCTCCTCCCATCACTTTGATCTGCATCTTCTTCCTTCGTCTTAGTCACTCTGCCTCTGTGTTGATCCCGCTCCAAGGCATCTCCTCTGCAGTGAGGAACCTTGTCTGGGAAGGGAACCAAGCAGTTTCCAGAGCTCGCAGTTCTTCCTGAGGGCTCTCAAGCTCACTAGGGGGCGGGCCAGGCCCCTCCCAGACTCAGTCGCTCTTCTCCAATTGTCTCTCCATGCCCTCCACTGAATATCTGCTGGCTCTTTGGGGCTGGTCCTCTTGTCAGGTCCCTCAGACACCCCCTTGCTTCCCTCTGTTGCAACAGGTGGGATGCCAAAGGCCAGAGGCTGAGCTAGAACAGCCCCGGGTGAGTGTGTGTGTGGGGGGAACCCCAGGACATCTGATAACACGCAGGTAGCTACTGCAGGCTGTGCTCCCCCACTTAAATTCTTTCAGTGTTCAGGGGGATACCTTTGGCACCTAATTCTGAAGTGACTGTTGTCGGTGGGTTTTGTTTCTGCTAATTTGCCTTGCTTATTTTTGTTGGAATTTGGAGGGATTCAAAAATGATGCAGGCATGGCCACTGTCTCGCCAGAAAGTCACTATCTTGTTGTTTTTGGCCACACGTGCTGTGCAGCTTGCAAGATCTTAGTTCCTCCAGGACCAGGGATTGAACCTGCCCCAGGAAGTGAAAGCACTCGGCCCTAATCACTGGACCCTCAGGGAATTCCCAGCAAGTCACTAATTTTAATGCTCATTCCCCTAAAGGGCCGCAGGAAAGATGAGATAAAATAATACATATGCATAAAAGTAAGTAAGGGACCATCTTAAGGGTGCGGTCAACCAGCTACTCCTTCCTTCTGCTGTCTTGCAGCCAGGACTGCCCCTCTCATTCAAGGCGTGCAGGTTTGAGATCTGAGCCTGCAACTGCCTCAGAGGGTGGGGCGCACAGGCCCCCAAGCTGGCTGCCGTGAAGCTGAGTGAGTCCCCGAGCTTTGAGCGCTTGCCTTGTCCTGCTGGGACCCCTCCGGGCATTTCCTCCTAGAACGAGTTTTGGAGAAGAGAAGGGAGGACCTCTTTCACACCCCTGCAACCCCAGAAAAAGGACGACCCGGGGGGGGGGGTGAGGGGGGGGCCGAGAAGCCGACTGTGAGCCTCGCACGCCATCTGCTGGCCATTTGTTTAATTGCAGCGAGAAGCTCCATTAACCAGAAAG